TTAGTTTCACTTTTAAGATCCACAATCATCTTTAAGCATATAAATTGATATAGTGTGTCCAATGATTTACAATAAAATTAATTCACTAATTTTAAATTAATTAATTACTTACACATATCTACAGAATAGTTTGCATTACTAGGATGCTCAAACTACCTTCAAAATTACTCTTGCACATGTTCTAAAGTCAGAGAGTAAATTTTAAACACCAAAATCATATGATTTTTACATAAGAAAATTACAAAAAAAAAGCTTATTTTTTAATTTCCAAAAATTATAAAAAAAACACAAAAATAAATCCTTAATTTTCATTAACCACGTGTCTAAATAATGGGAATAACTTATGTATTCAAAGCTTATGAGACAAGGATTCTAACTATATAAACTTCATGCTCTAAATTCGAATCATGTGAGAGAAATTCACGGTTAAAGTTTTATTTTTCAAGTTCGACTTAATATTTCTTCCTAACTTAATTGTCTTAATGATTATTTAAGTAAAAAGTATAAGCTAATATATTAATTGGAAGATTTTAAAAAAGAAAGATTAATTTAATCTATGTTATAATGAATTGAAATATATGGCAACAGATGAATTGTGAATTAATGATTTACAAAGATATACTCTCAACTTTATATTTATAACAAGCATTTATAATTAAAATGCTTAATTCTTTGGATCGGGCCTAAGTTCCATTTTCTTATTCTTAAGGCCCATGAAGTCCAATGGACATCTGTTTACTCATCTTATAATTTTAAGATTATGTTAAATTTTGAAGTAACCAAAAGGGGAAAAAGAAAGAAAGAAAAAATCCAAAAAGTAATTGGATTAACTAGTCCTTGCTTGGTTTGGATTATGATATCTCTATATAGAGAGAGCTAAAGGTCCTTTTGATCATTTCCCACTCTTTTTACGAAACGAATTGAAAGAAACAAATAATAGAAAAAGCTTGCATTTGCCATGGTTGATTCTAGTTTTAGGTACTTTTACCAAACAAGGGAAGGTGGACTTGAGGGTTATCAAATCCCAGAAGACTACGAACTTGAAGTTGTTGACCCTAATTTGCAGGAACGATTTCGTTGTTGCCATGCCTTGATCGATCGGGAGCAACCCGATTCCCCTGCAAGGTTGTTACAAATATTGGAGGCAAAACTGTTTCATCAAGCCGTCTAGTTACATCCCGTCTGGGCAGCCAGTCCCAGAATTGATCCAGACAAGCTGTAGATGCCTCATCTTGAACTTTACTGAATCCTTACTGAGAGATGAATCCAATGATGATCGAAGCAAGTTCCTGATTGTTGTGATGTTTGGACCATTGACGGGATGTGATGATGATGTTGAGATAGAGATAGAGGAGGAGACAGATAGCTGAAGACACAAAGGATGTGGAAGTTGGCTTTGGTAAGTCCGCCAGTGAAACCTTGGAGAACGTTTATCGTTTGGGTTGCGATGAATGTGTGATTTGCCTTGGAAATTTTGCTAAGGAAAAGGGAGCTAAGCGCATCCCCTGTGGGCATGTTTTCCATGAAAGCTGCATTGTTCGATGGCTAAAGAATAGTCACTTGTGTCCGCTATGTCGCTATGCCATGCCACTTGATTGACGAAGAGTCACTTTATTATTTTCTTTCTTTTTTGAGGGGTTTGGCTAAATCCCTTGTTTGTAATTCATGAAGCCACATAGACATTGAGTTTTGCTTCAATTACATACCTTGATTTTGGGTTTTTAAGCAATGCAATATCTTTTTCTTATTTTGAGAATTGATTATCATCTACTTGATAGAGGTTTTCCCCAGTTATTTTCGATACTCTGGCATCACTATTTTTCTCGGTATAATAGGCAGTAAGGTTTGCTCTAATCTATAAGATAATATATTAATAAGCAAAGTATCGATCTCTTAGAAAATAACTTTAAAAATTTATTAAGTATTAAAATTAAAATAATTTAGTTTTCTTCATATAATAAAAAATTTAATAACTAATTAAATTAAAAACTAGTCAAATAAAACTAAACTAATTAACGTTAATAATCAAAGCAAAAAAATAACTGAATAAAGACCAAATTGGAAAAGCCTAGGATTACAATATCCCTCCTACTTCATCTAAATCTTACCTCTCTCAACTTATTCCAATAGGTTGAATTGCTAACTTAGAGTTCTCAATTATTTACAATGCTCTCTCAAGTTTTTTATTAAATATTTACTTTAACGAAAACACTATATTCCTATGTGAATTAAAATTAAAATAGACTCATTAAGTTCAGGTTCTAATCGACCTACATATGACACATAGGTATATTTCTATCCTATACACAAATCAATTTATTCATTCAATCAAATAAATATGATCATATGCTATTCCAATCTTAGTCTATACTAAACTCTCTTTCTCAAGTTTGTTTAAGTTCTCAGACTAATTTAATTGGTGATCAAGCAATTAAAAGAATAAACAATTTTATTCCATTGAAAATTAGCAAGAAAAAGATTAAAAATTTAAATTACATATGAGTTCAATTACAATCCTAGAAAACAAAATTTAGCCACCCATAATTGCATAAGTAAATAAAAACATATGAAGGTTGGCCATCAATGTTAGCTTTAACATTATTATAGTTTTAATTATAACAAAATGATCAAAGTTTCTTGAACATTATTTGAGTGATCCTTGACAAGTTCTTGAAATGATTTAACTCACATACATTTATTCTTATATATACACAAGATTGACTCTTGAGGTTATTGAACAATATCTATAAACGTAAATGACTTAGGTGTATGAGTGCTTGTGATTCTCATTCATTAAAGTTTGATTTAAAGATTAATGAAAAATCTAGATGCACTCATTAAGGTGGAGTTTTAAATATTTTTTTTAATGATGACAAAAAAGGAGAGAAAGAAGACTAAGTTAAATAGAGTTTGATATGTCTTTATGTTTAATTTATGCGTTTGATGCTTAATTATGGTTTTGTTGAATATTATGTGCTAGCTATTGTGGATATTGAATACATCTTGCTTAGTTATTGTTGATCTTGTATATCTTGTTTAGTTATTATGGATATTATAAATATTTTATTGCAAATCTTAAAAAAAAAACCAAATACATTAACTAAAGGGGAGCAATCCTCATTATGCATAAATATTTGAAGCATTCATATTGAACATACACATTTCACTCTTAATCTAGGAATGTTTTGTCATCATAAATAATAAAAGAGAAAAAATGTTAACTCCATGTGTTTTTTATGATAACAAAACATTTCTATTCATTGGTGTCTAACTATATTATTTAAGTGTGCAAGAGAAAGCTTAAATTCATTAATATATTTGGCATTTGGAAAGCAAATCAATATGTTTGTTTAGTTGTGAGATGGGTTGATTGGTTAAACAAGCAAAGAAGAAAGAGTTTTAATGAAAACAGATTAGTCTTAACCGATTAGCACAAATCCTTAATTAATTACAGAAATTATGGGTGCTACACTGAGGTCAAACAGAAAGGTCTTAACTGGTTAACA